CCCCAAAACCCCAAAACCCCAAAACCCCAAAACCCCATTGTATCAATTATGATAGTTTTTAGAAATAGCGATATAGAGTTTTATTTCAGGAATACAGAATTATAGTTCATAAAGACATCTAACTATCAACAATTTTTACATTGGCCTCATTTAATCTTTGCCTCATTAATTGCTCACTTTCTATTGAGACACTTCTTGAAAGATCTTCTAATAAATAAGTATCGAAGCCTAATTTGGCAGAGTCAATCGCTGTAGAACCCACACAATAGTCAAAAGCTAAACCACAGACATAGACTTTAATAGTAGAGAGATCACGTTCATCAAGTTTCTTTTTGATCAAATCACACAGCTTAGTCTTTTCTGGAAAGCTGCCAAATCCAGAGTAAGAATCAACCTGTCTCAATGTTCCTTTTGATACTATTTTGTCCTTATTCAAGTCAATATCTAGCTTGGGGTGAAAATGTGCTCCATCAGATTCTTAGATACAATGAGTGGGCCACATAACTTGTTCAACTTCTGTCTCTGGTAGAATTATCTTCTCAAATAATTTTGTGCCAGGATGATTCTCATGAAATGAACAATGATCCTTTGGATGCCAATCTCTTGTGAAAATTACTTTATTAAATTTCCCACTCTGCTTTAGTTTGTTTATTGGCTCGATTATCTCTTAAGCACCTGAGACAGCTAATGAGCCACCCTCACAAAAATCATTTTGAACATCAATAATTAGTAGTATTTTAATCTGTTGCTCTTCAGAACTCGTTTAAGTCTCCATAGAATTTGTAAAATTAAATTTAATCAATTAAAATTATATTATGGAAGAGAACTAGACATAAAAGAAAAAATCTATAGAGGATTATGAGTTTGTAAAGTAGATTGGAGAAGGAGCTTTTGGAAATGTTTATCTGGCAAAGGAAAAGGACAATCTAAATATCTTTGCAATCAAGACTCTTGATAAGATGCATATTATAAAGTTTAACAAGACAAAGAGCGTTCATAGAGAGAAGGACATATTGAATTAGCTTAAAGATCATCCAAATGTCATTAAATTGGAGAATACTTTCCAGGTAAGTTTATAATTTTTAAAAAAGGATATAGGATAAACAAAATTTGTATTTTGTATTTGAGCACTGTCCAAATGGAACTCTAAGCAATTTAATTTCTAAAAATGGTAAGGTTCTTTTAGTTCTGATCTGTGTTCAGTTAAGTTTTAAGAGAGTCTAGTTCAAATTTACGCAGCAGAGATCATTAATGTATTAGAAACTATGCATTAGAGAAATATAATGCACAGAGATTTAAAGCCAGAAAATATACTTCTAACTTAAGACTATCATATAAAAATTGTAAGTTCTAAAACAGCAATTATGCTCTCAACAAGATCAATCAATTAATTTATTTTTCAATTCAGTCTGAGTTAGTTAGAGTGTATCTACTATTTATTCTGATTAGTTAATCAGAATCTAATTTAAGAAACTAATAATTTCTTTTAGATTGACTTCGGAGATTCAAATTATATAATCGATCCAGATTAGAAGCAAGAAGAATCTCAAAGTGAATAAACACAGCCCACATAAGAATCAGAGGGTGAAGAATTCAGAACTAGTAGATTGAGCGGGTCTGATTATAATAGTTTTACTGCTATCGCAAAGGACAATGAAAGGCGAGGAACTTTCGTGGGAACTGCATTTTATGTCTCACCAGAGATGCTCAAAGATAACATTGCTGGTTCAGCCTCTGATTTATGGGCATTAGGCTGCATTATTTATAAAATGCTTACTGGAGACGTACCTTTTCAGGGAACTAGCGACTACTTTACTTTCTAATAAATACTCTCTGGAAAAGTTAACTTTCCAGAAGATTCAGATTTAAGTGAAGCCAGCAAAGACCTTATCATTAGTTTATTGAAGCTTGATAAAGATGAAAGATTAGGAGCTGGAAGAGAAGGCTCGGAAAATGACTATAGAGCTCTTAAAAATCACAGATTTTTCAAAGAAATCAATTTTGACAAAGTTAATGAGATGCTCGTCCCATTAATTAGAAAATTTTCAGAATCTGATGATCTTAAAAACTAGACTTAGCTTCAGTAATGGACCGATGTCGGAGCTGATGATGAAAATATTGTAATATATTAAAACGAACTTAAAAAGAAGAATAAGTATTACTGGCCATAATTAAGGTTTTTCATACTCACTAAAAATGGTTAACTTAGTTACTTTAAGGACAAAGCATTATATAGAGGGTAAATTAGACTATGCAAGGAAACTAAGGTAGTCAAGACAGCTAAGGATAAATTTGAGATTTAGACTCCAACTAGAACTTTTTATCTCAGTGAATCTGACAATTCTAAATTGTCCAGTGACATCTGGATAGATAAAATAAGAGAAGTCATTGAAAAGCTTAAGCTAGTTAATTGATTGCTTATAACTTTAGTCACAAACTCAAATCCTATTAGTTATATAATGCTCATAGAACCTCTACCTATTTTAAATTAATAGATAATAATTCAGTTTAAACATTTCTCATTTTATTAGAAGATATTTATTTTTGGGGTTTTTGGGTTTTGCTACTGAG